TTTGTATTCATTAGGATAATTCAATCCATATCCATGCAGTGCATTGGGATAAACTTCCTTTTGAAGAAAAAGTAGCGCAGATTTGTGCTGGAGTGTCATTTTATTTTGGATCGAGTTTTTCGTGAAACAAGGTAGAGAATTTGTTTCGGGTCCAGATTATGACCAATGACAGCGGACCACTGGCCCCCACTTTCTCCGTGGGTGCGGGGAGGGCGAGCAAAAAGAGCAAGCCCAGTGCTCAGATTCGATAATGTCTCAGTCAGTTAGTGCAGCTTTAACATATGTTTAAAAGTTAAGAACTGTTGTTTCATTATAAATACAAATAAAACATGAAATGATTCTGAAATACACTGTAGACATTCTTATTCTTAATGTGGTCATGTATCTATATCTAAATGAGTCATTTATAATAGTGAGCACTCAAATGGTGCATTGTTAACTGACCGTGTCCAAAGGCTAATGGATTTTTAGAAAACCCTTTGCGATGTTATTTAACATGTGTGAAATAGTATTTATAATGTGTGAAACATAACAGTTCTGTGGTGATCCCAATCTTTCGAACAATAGTCTGTATCTAACAACTTGGAAATATTCAACTTTCAACACAGCAAAAATTAGAACATTGTTGTAGCGGAAATCAAAGTCAAATGAGTCTTTAGTTGAAATGAAGTCATTAGCACTAATCAGCTCTGTCCTGTCGTCATCTCCACATGTCTTTGTCCATCATCTCATCCTGTGATCTGCATTTAGTAAATGTAGATCACAGGACGCCATTTACTGAGCCGTGGACTCAGGCTGCTCTCCAGATGCAGTGAAATTAAATGCACATTCTACATATGATTTGTTAAAAATATCTATTGTTTATTAAATGATTCATATTCTAAATAATAAACAACAATGTGTGTCCATTCTACATTTGAACTTGTATCAAAATGTAGAAGGCAGCGTAAATAGTTTGTGAGGCGCAAACTTGCAGCGAAACATCCATCTTGATTAGACTATTATGTGGAGAGCATAAAGAGCAGGTTTCTGCGACAGCTCCGAATGAAAACGCCTCATGATCAATACTTATATCTGTTTTGTTTCTCTTTATTGTCTCTAAAATCGCCTCAGCAAACACAATCTATAGTCTCCGCGCATTGAAGCAAACAAGGTGATGTCATTATACCAGATTGTTGTTCATAACTGAAAATAAATGCAGGTTATTATTAACATGTTCAAGAAGTGTTTCAATTAATCTCGAGACGGCGCTCAGCTGCATGGGACGTTATTCAGATCAATTCGAACGTTCAATGCCGTGAACAGAAAATAAAAGGAAAAAAAAATCAAAATCAAGCCCTTCTCAGCGTTTCCACAATAATAATAACAATTTAAACTTTCTCTTCACTAGCAAAATGTTTGTTGTTTGTGTGTATTACTTGAAATAACCCTAACCCATAACTATTATTTACACCTCACATTAGTAATTTTTATAGTTTTAAGAATATATTATAACAAGAATAGTCACACATGGAGAAGTTAGTGTCATGGCCAGCATCTGCTTCCTCCTGGGGGTTGATCTTCATTTGTAAAGTAATTTCTTCTCAAATAGTCATCAGGAGAAACACACCAGACTCCTTCCTTTAAAAACCCAAAGATTGCATGAATTATTTTTAGATGAGGCGAGCAGACATTTTCCAATCAATTCTAATCATGTTTCAGCTTTGCTTTTAGGGAGAATGGGCTCAAAGACGTGTCTGACAGCTTACATGTACAATATTGAACTTGGCTGGGAATCCATTATCAACATGTCTGGATGTGAAATTGTGACAAAACTGCTATCTTGTTAGACATGAATGAAAATATGCGGCTGCACAGTGAAGCAGCAGTGATCAGAATACGCTCTGTTTAATTTTGTCATTGACAGCTGGCCAAGACAAAAAGCTCTTATCTTCAAATCCAATTGTATTCCTGTTTGATTGGATTTTCCATTTTATTATTTTGAAATAACCGTAATAAGATAATGTAATAAAAACGTGTTAGTTTTATAATTGTCACTTTTAAAACAATTAAATCTGTGACCCGTTAATGACAGATGGGGGCCTCAGCCAAAACTAGTTTGTCTCCGTTCTGAAATACTGCAGTCTTAAAAACACATTAATTTCATTCTATTGAATGTTGTAGGTCGGCCTAAAGGGGCATTAATAATGTATTAGAGCTGCATCGATATTAGAAACATCTATCAACATGAAAGCTTTAAGAAGGTCAAAACATTGAAATAATGTTTGTACAGGATCATAGAAAATAAGAAAGAACCTAACTCCGTCCCACAGAGGAGCAGGAATACAATAAGTACATTAGCTCTTACTGTATTCTGTACTCTATATACTCCAAACTAAATACTTGTTACTACTCAAAATACTAATTTCCAGATGTTTTTCCATCCAGAATTTTATTTGACAGTGATCAGATTCACAAATTCGCCATATTAATCAATCTCATGCATATGTTTTTGAACAACATAGTTGGTGTGAACTGAAAAAGAAGATTTGGAACGTTATCAGTTTTGTGAAAGGATTTACCGAGACATTATAGCTATATGACTTCTGACAGTTACCGTAGTTACCACAACATATGTTTCAGCAGCCCTCCACCACAATAAACCAGCCGTTTGGAATGTTGTGATATCCTTAGAGTTTATTTATGAAGTAAACATTTTGACTTCAATATAATGTATAACACACTCAACTACAACATTTCATCACAAAGTTCTGGGCTTGAAGTGCAGACAACTTCATGTTTTCTATACATATATTTTTTTCTTACTTGATCCATAAACTACACAGCCATGTCTGTTCTTTCTGCTCTTCATACTTTGGTACTTTTGTCAAAGGTGACAGGAGTGTTGAGAAGGGATAGTCAGGCTGTTTCTATAGCAACTCTGAGTACTCGGTTTTCTTTCCTCTGTGCGATGTATGACCCCACACACAGTCACCGATGCCAAACCATCCGAGGAGCATCTCCCAAGGACACCCGTTAAACAACAGCCCCTCAAGCCTTTTTTTATTCTCCTCCTACTTCACATCTCAGCACCATCAATCTGGCCATTTGCATTAACTTTATTTCTCACTCCATTAGTTTCTAGGACACGTAACAGCACCACAAAAAAGAGGGAGGTGGTAGTGCTGCTGGCGTGGGGAGTGTGAAAAAACACAAAGTAAAAAGAAAGTTTTACCTCTGAGAGAGATAACATGTAATTTCACAGTCAACTTGGCGTGATGTATTATCTTGCTACAATGGGTTGTGAGCTCAGCGTGGTACCTAGAGGAAACACTCAACGGTATTAGCAAAAGATCATTAACTTTAATATTGTAAGTATTTTTAAACAGAAACAGGATGGATTTCAAGCATGTCCCACTAGTACGAGGCCCCCGGCGTGGCAAAGACCCAGTACACGTTGGAGTCTTTCAGCTGGCCAGGGAACGGCTCAGGATTCCCCTGGATGAGCTGCAGGAAGTCTGTGTAGATAAGGAAGTCTGGTTGCCTCTGCTTCGACTGCTGCCACCACGACTTGGCAATGGATAAAGTGAAAGAAAAAGATTGGATGAATTTCCTCTGGCGAAGAAATGCATAGAATAGGTAGACTTCAGTACGTTTCAAAGTGCAAAACGGTATAATCTTATAATGGCAATCTGAAAAATATTCTAACTATGCTAAATGTCAAGTCAGATTTCTTGTCTTAAATTATAGCTAATTTCTCTGTAATTCCTGGACAAATCCATATGAAACAAAAACTGTCAAAAAGATTTGTCGGAACCAATCAACCAAGGCCAACATTTCTTCTCATAAAAGACGTCAAATAATTATCTGGGAAAACTATTAGACATTTTCTTTTACTTTTCTTTCATAAGTATTGTTCCCCATTCAGTGAACTGAAATAGAATGCTGAAAAAAGCAACCCAATTCCTTCTTTTAGTTGTCCTACTATGGTGCTCAATGTTATAGTCTGAACCCAGTTAATTTACACATATAGATCTAAAGTATTTATTAAATTCAAAAAACATAAAAGTTGCAATTCAAATGTAATAATGAGGTCTCCATTGCTTTTGTAACTTATTATTTTTACTGTATATATCTCCAGTTTATGTCCAGTGGCAACATGGTATGGATCATTCTAAGAGTTACTGTAGCGTTATACACATTTGAAACAAACAATGATGAAAACTGCCAATTTCTGTGAATTTATTAAGACTTGAAAGTATAAACACCAATTTTACATACCGAAAGTTGGACAGCTTTATTCACGGAGGAGTAGATTAAATGAAAAGCCTCCCAGCAGTTAGACGATTGAGCCAAATTACAGCATTACCACACTGTTTATTCCAATAGCCGCGCTCAGTCACGCTGTTATCCGGAAACATGGGGCTGCATTGATGGATGCCTGTGCTTCATTAGCCACAGTTTTAGAAGCACAATTTTTTCCACAGTTCTGTCCAGAATGCTTCGAGGGAAAACGACCAGCCACAAAATAGTAGTGAGTGTAAAGTTTAATCAAAAGTGCTACATGAAAGCAATCAGAAGCTTTCAACAAAATCAATGTGATTTAATGTAAATTAACAGCAAAAAATATACATCAAGAATCAAATATTGATCCATGCAAAATCTTTACACAAATCTTACCTTCAAAACTCACTCTCGCACAGTCATTCACAAATCTTTCATGATTTTAGATTTTCAGAAAGAGCATACGAGTAGAGTTTATACAGAAGATATAAGAACTGTTGTTACTCAAAGCTTTAATCCTAATTATTTTTGTGGGCATGAATTGATTTTAGCCAGAATAAGGCTAGATGTGGAGTTTGAATCAGTCTGTGAAACAAGCCAAGAACAGAGTCATTAAATTTATCTGAAAATTCTGTGAAACCAAAATTATTACAAAACGCTCACCATTAACAACACTTTTTGCACAGTTTGTATCTATTTCATTTCGTATTTAGCGCGAGCATGACTAATGAAGTTGTTTACATACAAAGCTGCAAACATAGGATAACAAAAGCAAAAAAAAAAAATGTTGTAATAAGTTTGCAGAAATGTATTCGTTTTAATATCATAACTTGCTGTTCTTCTGAAACTGCGACACGAGGCCAAGCACCTGCTCTGACGCCGTAATGACCTTGTTCTGCAGGTAGAGGGCACTGTTCTGGGACGTCTCATTGAGAAAGTAGCGATAGTTGACCATGATGCCGCAGGAGTTGGCCACACCTCTGGGGCTGGTGTCCGCATTCCAGTTCAGCCTCCACATCACTGCTCCGTTCTGAAGGTGGAAGTTAGCCACGGGGTTGAGAGCGTAGCCTCTTCTCTTCTCCCCGTAGAGGTACCAGGCACACAGCCGCATCAGGACCGGCTCCAGCAGCAGACTGAGCCTTTCGGAGCGCGTCCACTCGTTGGTGCCGATCAGCTTCCTCAGGGCGTCGATGGCCCCCGTGCCCGGTGTGCAGTCTGTGGCCTCCTCCAGCGTCCTCCACTCCTGCTCCGACAGCAGCTCCAGACCGCGGCCCTCCTTGCGCCACTGACTGAGCAGACCCTGCAGCCATGAGGCAAAGCCCGGGATGGGAGACAGGCTGGAGAACTGGGACATGTGCGGAAACTCGCTCTGGGAACAAGTACACAGACAAGAGTATTATTCATGTATCTTTTTATTCACTTGACATCCTCTATCCTTGAATGTCACATAAATCCCATTATATTATAAAAAGCTTCAGCTGCTTTAAAACAAGACAAACAGAAGTGATGGACACCTAGCTTCCAGCAGCATGTGAACTACACTGGATTACAATGATGACCAGTGTTACAGTTTTAGACAATGACAAAGAAGTGAATTCTTATAATCTATTCTAGCTGCTACAGTTCTCTCCCGTCCTCTCTTCTCCCCTCTTCAGATTGTCTAGTTTGATAAATGACAGAGCAATGTGGCAGGTGAGGGGAGTGGGTATCTATAGATCAAAGTGGGTCAGTGTAAAGGCACCCCTAAGGCCCAAACTTGTGTGGCTTATGCTTTCAGTGAACAAGAACAAAGTTTACCCATCAATCTGTCCTTGATTTTGCCTGTCTTCACTAAAAAGTGTGTTGTGCTGGGTCTCCCCCTTGTGGGTCGGCTCATTTGGCAGAGTTATGCTTTGTTGACTGTAAACCTTTTATTTCAGCTCCTGGCAGTGCTGGGTAAAATGTATGTGTTGCCAAACTCTTTTATGAGTCAACATTTAAATGGAATCAGTTTGTGAACCCTTTTGTTTATTTTCCAATAGCTGGAAGCTGAGGTCTTGTAGCTGTGGCTGGTGATTATCTGGTTTATTCTCATTAGTCTGCAAGACGACAGAGCAAAATCAAATGTCTCTGGTAGGCGGGTTTAAAGAAGCCATCTCTATAGATCGTCTTTTAGACAGTAAAATTATAAAGTTTGGATAATTAGCTTTACATCTGAGACAAATTCTACTAATAGGTATATTTCGGCACTTTTTGAACTATACAACTATCTGACATATTGAAATATTGATTGTTTGTGATTTCAAGTTTCTAGTATAAATTGCTGTTTAAAAGAAATGGCATGTTACTTCAACCAATCATATATTTAAAAGAACAAATCTAAATTAAGTAGACCTTTGTTGATTTGACAAATCCATACCGTATTATACAGAACTGGTATTTGGTGTAAATAAGATATAAAATCCCCAAAGGTTTGATGTCAGAACAAAAACAAGCCATCAATGCAGAACAGCACCCTGGGGTCCGCTCGACCAAGACAAGCTGGACCACCTCCCTTCATCTTAAATCACCACTGTGACCTTTTACATTCCACTCCATCATCTCTGCCTCAGTCTCATGGTCCCTCAGTGGTTTGTACTTCTCATATTATACATGTGAGATGTAGAGGGCTTCATCCCATTGGACTTCACTTACCCTCTATAGTTAAAACACTAACGATGCATATCACACAAAGAGTAAAAGCAGCAACAACATTTAGCCAAAGAGGTACTATCTAATTGTGATTGCAAAACATTTTCACAGGATGTAATAATATAAATCATATGCAGGAAGTAATATGTTTTTGTGACTGTAAATTATGTACTATTTGTGAGTCTATGCAGAGAGATGGCAGTTTATAGAATGTTTGAAAGTAATTAATGCATGTAACCTTTAGTGTGACATTCAAATGATTTGATGAAGCTGGCATAATATGAAAATGTTTTCAGTCTGTTTTTCCGTGAATTAAGAATTGTTCAGAGCTGATCGTTCATAAATTATGGCTTGAATGCAGTATGTGAAGGTGCGGTAAGCAGTTGAAAGATGATCCCTGTTATACTGCGTCTAATTGTACATAAATATAACTTTTGTTGTGAGAACAAAGGCACATAAATTAACAACTATTTGTAATACGCGGCGTATATAGATAATGCACCTGTGTTGATATCCTCAGCTGGGTCGAAGCTGTTTTGTTCTGCTCCAATTTGTGAGTGGATGCTCCTGGTAGATTATCATTACTCAAATTAACTCCCTGGCTATATTCCTAAAACTGCAATTTGTTATTTAGTTGCTAGTTCCAACACCATAATTAGGCATTTGCCGTTTTTGGATTCAGCAATGCAACAATTTAGTGGCGAGCCGAGACTTCTGCAACTCTAACGAGGAGTCATCTGAGCATCAGACGAATCTATAAAAGTTCAACTCTGAATGAATAACCAGTTGTCAATAACACAAATTAAACGTCACGCCTACAATTACAAATATATATTAATATGAATGTAAAATTAATTATATATATAGAAATAGATATTGTTTTTGTCATATTTTCTGTTAACTGTTCAAAAGTGGTGATTATCCAGCCCAGAGCACATGGCCATACAAAACATTTCGGCTCCAGGGAAAAAGAAAAGCCCTGGCCTAAAGGGTAGCATTCTGTAAAACTATGCTTTGGGTTCAATATATCTGTATCCAATTTTCCAATAGCAATGCTAATTTAAGACTAAGAGCTCTTTTATTGGTCCCACAACGGGGAGATTTCCAGTGACAGAACCGTAGAAATTGAGGAGCAGATGGAAATTTGTTTTTAATGCTCTATGGGATTTTAATCCGTCTATCCATCCATTTTCTTCCCCTTAATCAATTTCTGGGTCGGGGAGGTGGCAGTCAGAGCAACACCCCATTCACAGAGCACCAGCCCATTACGGATTCTCCTGCAGGTGGTGAGTCCACAGGAGGAGGGCTGCTCTAGTCTGAGCTGCCTTGATCTTCCAGCGGGGGCTTCAGGCAAAGCGGGGTTAAGTGTCTTGCCCAAGGACACAACAACAGCAGACATCAGTGGGAGTTGTTAAGTAGGTCTCGTCGTGGGCTTGAACTCACAACATTCAGGCCCAAAGACCACTGTTGCGATTTTAATAATATTTTGTTATGTTTATGAAGATTTTAATGTTTATGATTCATGCTTGATGTGATATGGGTTGTGAGGTGCTTTGTGTTGCCTTGTGTAGGAAAGGTGCTCTACACATAAAAGTAGATGGATTGCTTTATTGAATTTGCTACAAAAAGCTACAATCCGGTGTATTTACATTTAAGTCGTAATGACATTTGTATATTCATTGACAATTGTAAGACTTTTTATTACACTTGTTCAATGTCACCCACCTGCAGCTCGCGCACCACTCGCTTTATGAGGTAGTTTCCCAACTCGACGCCTTGCAGACCCGCCTGAGTGGAGGAAATGGAGTAGAAGACTGCCGCGTTTATTTTATTCGCATCCTCTTCTGCGTCCAACGTGGCAAACTCTCTGACAATCCCCTGATCGACATACAAGCACAATCTATAAATCCCACTGTTCTCTAGTTGCGAGCCCATAAAAACGCTACATACGGCTATTGTTTTATGCGTTCACATTTATTGTAGCTTAAATGTCAAGGTAGCTCCCGGGATAATCCTCAGTTTAAAAGGTCTCATATTTTGTTCAAAGGGCTATAATGCATTTATCACACAAAGCCAGATTTATGGACACAATCCAGTGAATCTGCACAATATCCTTGAAGGTACCGTAGAGTGAGACGGAGCGATAAACTACGATGAGGATGTAGCTACAAACCTGGATGTTGTTGGAAATCTCCTCGGTTAGGGCCACGTGAAGGACCACCAGCGGTTCTCCGGGCATGGCGGCGTGCGTGAAGGCGTAACAGCGGCGATACGGCCCCACTCTGCGCTTCAGGTCGGTCCAGTTCCTCACAGGGTGCACGGCTTCATACCTGGGGAAGGGTGAAAGGATAACTGGGGTAAACGTCACACAGTTAACAATGGACATCCATGATACACAGGCTATTTTACTTTTTTTCAAAAACGGCTTCACATTCTATAACAACAAGAGTAGAGTAACGACCAAACAGGCAAAAAGAAGAAAACCAAGAAGTGCTTGTGGAATGTTTGTTTAAAGATCAAGATGCAACTTTTCTATAATCATAATTCTATAAAAGGTAATATGAACACGACTTTTACTTTTTTCAAATATGGGTATAAATGCGACGTCATTTCTATTATCAAAATGAGTTCTCCTTCTTGGCAAAAGCAGTGAAGGTTTAGTATTGTCGACTAAATGAGGTTTACTTACTAATAATTACATATTGTATCCAGCGTTTATGATCTTGATCCAGTTTGCTTTTAAATGATGTACAGTAAAACATGCCATGAGCCCAGACTCTCAATGGGGGCCGCAATCTGATGTCCACTTGACATGGGGGCCACAAAATACCCCTGGTTTAAAAACATACGCAGCGTGGAAATTTTGATTTGACAATAATACGGACAAAAATGAGATTCTGAGATCAAGAGATGGATGGCTGACAATTGTGTACGTCTTTTCATGGATTGAAACAGACATGGTGAAGATTATAATGCAACGTTCACATCCAGGTAAACCATGAGGGACAGACACAAAGTTCAATGCCAGATTTGAAAGCGGCTGGAATTTGGTACCATCTGGACACAGCAACACCATTCAGATTGAATTAAAATGTCTTTGATAACTGTAATGTGTGTGTCTGCTCACTGGCTTATCTTCTGCAGAATATCACAGGGCGACTCCCAGGTGATTCTTTCCAGTTTTAACAGACCGACTGAGAACCATTCTGACAGCAGGCTCCTCAGAGTGCCATTTAGATCCTGGAAGAAGAAGAATCATCAAGAAGCAGACTGATGTAAGAAACCAACCAGTCAGGAGAAGCATGTTGCACCACATACATTTTGTAAGACTGCCGCCATCATGAAAACAGATAACCATATATAAAGGGTAAAGATAACATGTATGTGTGTGTGCGTGTGTATTGACAGACTGAAAATAGAACGAAAGCTCATTATTTTTCTAACAACAATTCCAGTGTGTACAGAATGTGGACTAACGGTGTGCTGTTTGGGTGTTTTCACATTAGAAGGTTTGTTTGAGCTTACAGTGTCTGAAAGTCACTTCAATAAACAACTTGCCATTTGAGCGTCGGCCTGTTCCCCTGGAAAGGTCAGACTTAATTTAAAAAGAAAATACAGCAGTCCACGAGCATTTTTTTTAATTGAGCAGATATTTGCAGAACTGGATTCATTAGCCTTTTCATCCTGTCCATCCAATTGCTTAAACCAACAAGCTCAAAATATAGCACTTATAAGAAATGTTTTCATGGTTTTGAATCTAAGTAAGTGTTCATAAATAGTGGCATGAGTCTAAAATGGCGTCAGCATTAGTTTATATCAAAGATGTGCACTATCCCCATTATATAAATGTCACAAGCCTGAGTGGAAATAATCTTTGATTCTGGATATTCCCCAAGTCTGGGCTTTCGTTTTTATTTCAAAAATAAGGAAGAATCCACAACCAACTGGGGTGAATCCTTGGGCAAGCAATTCTCACATACACAAAAGCAAGGCCAAACAGAGATGTGCATTACTTCGACCTCTACAAAGATGGAAGAACTCTTTTGAAATGGTAGAGTCCAGCATTCTAAGTCGATGATTACACGAGTCTGAAGGAAAATAAATCTTAACAGCTCAGTAAAATAAAGCAAAGCAAGTAAAGATTGCTCTATGCAGAAAAAAGCTCAAGACACAATTCTCAGGCCTTTGTGGATAGGTATAAATTTCAGTTTCTATTTTCACCAGAGGAGTAAAATCTATACAAATTACAATAAAAGAATAAAAGAATTTCCAAACAACTGTTTTGGTGTGACTGTCATAGTTTTTATAATCATTCTAATGCCACTCATCTGTTTTTGCAGATTTACTACATACTTGGTCCGTGTACTTTTGCGTTCAATACATTTTCTATTTTTGAAGGAAAATCGAAAATCGAAAAAAGGCTATTTTGAATTTTCAGGCTCACAGCAATATACAAAAATGACCATTTTGGTTTTTTTCATTGCTTATAAGACATATATATTCTAATAACTGGATTTGGGAACTAGAAAATGCAATAATTAACCTTTTTTTAATATGTATTGAATACATTTCGGCGTCAATCGATTACCCGGAAGTGAAACAAGTTTGTTTACTTCAGCCCTATTCGCTCTAATTTAGTATAATTTAATACGCAAATGACCTCTAGTATTTGTCCAAACACAGACGTCCTGTGATAATACTTATCCCGTGAGAATCTGCATGTCAGTGATTGTGATCGCTATGGCCGCTTTCTCTTTACTTTCTGCGTTGTTTTTGTCAATAAGCAGAAGAGTCTATATCGCGGCTGTGAACAGCTGCAGAGTCGCGGCTGCTGCTGTCTCTGTGAGGTCTATGGAGAAGTGTAGAGGACAGTGTAATGTGTTCACTGGCACTAAATGATCAGACCGATGGGGTGTGTTTCTTTGCACTCTGTCCTAATACAGTACAGACATGTTGATACAGCCGTTACTATTTATCGGCTCGCACGCATCTTAGCAGAGTATGTGGCGCGTTCACGAGTAGTCCATACAAACTATTATTAAACATTACAGACAATATGGGCCATAGAACTGTAGAGCAGTTTGACCTCATGTTTGTCCTCATGGTCTCTGTGGCTGCTGAGGTCAGTCTCTGGACTGCGTGAAGCTGGGAGACCCGCGCACGTGCGCCCGTTATGTGAGGTGTCAGTAAAAATAGTATTTTACAGATATTGCTTATCCCGTGTGAATGCACGCCCTCCACAATTATCACAAATTATCACAAATTATCGTGCGAAATGTATTAAATACATAATAAAAAAGTTCAATTATTGCATTTTCTAGTTCCAAAATCCAGTTATTATAATATATGTATATAAGCAATGAAAAACCAAAATGGTCATTTTTGTATACTGCTGTGAGCCTGAAAATGCAAAATAGCCTTAAAAAATAGAAAATGTATTGAACGCAAAAGTGCACGGACCATACTTCATCCAAAGTGTTTGAAATATGGTGACTGAAAGCTTTAAATAGATACAACATTTGGATGAAGTGTATTATTGACAAAAAGTAAAATCCTTGATGCAGCATTAATTAATCATTTAACCAAAGACTCAGGTGGGAATGGAAATACAAAATTATTGTTTTCTGTCTTATAAAGAAAATTCAGTCAGGAGTACTGTTGAAGTACTCCTCTCTCAATAATCAAACCAAAGTAAGTCTGATAATAATCTGCATTTCTCCATTTGATGCACAAATTGTTCGTGATTGCACAGGCCGGCAGTTCCAAATAAAATTAGCATATTAATATTGTACTGGACAATTGCCTAATATGATTGTCAGTTGTGAGTCCCGTGCACTGCGACCATCTTCCCAGCTGTTTCAGCACAAACAAAGCGCTCTCTGAATACAACTTGCATGCTTAAAATGAGGCTGTGATGGCCCAAAATGTAAACAGAGATGAAAAGCAGAATAATACAATGATGATGATGAAGAGCATGGCAATCAAAACATGCAAAATAGCAATGAAAAAACAAGGAGGGCTGAGATTACCAATGTCAAAAATAGAAATACGGTTATTCTTTCAGGAATTATTAGGATAGTTATTAGAATGGTTAGTTCAAGTTGTCACAGCGTGTTCCTATCACTACTAGTGTTGCCAAAACAGATTTCATTTTAAAGTGATCCATAATTAAGTCATTTGAAACCGTATTTTCAAATATGGCAAAACAAATATACATGAGTATAATATACATAGTGGTAAAAGAAAAAGAATATTTGAGAGAGGTGGCCTAAAAATACTGTGGTAACCCTGTAGTGTGAACGGAAACTGGGTAAAGGGTCAGTGCAATTTAAGCTGATGTGCGTCATGTGGAGAACTGTGCAGTGGCATGTACATGTGGGGATGCAATTTATAACCAAATATTAAAGTTATTGCAATATATCTAGCGACAGTGATCAAAGGGCATATGTACATCCGAGTAGACCGTAAACAAATGCATGCTGCAGATATTTACCCTTAATTGTGCGGTGTCGCAAACTTTGGATGAAATGATTTCTAACAAATCTGAACGAAGGTCTACCAAAAACTTGACTCCCCCTTCGACTCTACTTATATGGCTGAGGAGCTGTCGGTAACGAGGTACCAGACTGTAACGCAGTCGGTCTTCAACTTGCAAAATTGTTGCCAAGTCTCGAAGTTGCGTGTCCAAAAGCTTCACTGCAAGCTCTGATGCACCTTTGTGATCGACTCCGAAGTCTTGGGAAAGTTTAGAGAGTAAATTTAGCTTATCTTCCTTCTCCAGACTTTTGTAGAAATTCATAAATTCCAGACTGTTTAATTCGGGCGGAGGGGGCGCCTTGTCTCGGGTCTCGTATGTGGGTAAAGGTGCAACTACCCTGGCCAGTAGGTCCTCCATGACCGAGGGACCACCGCCACAAGCAGGAGTGGAGAAGCAGCGCCTAACACCACTCTTTCGGGGCACGATAAAGGCTGTCCTCGGAGCTAGATGCCCCCAACACCTTGTACAACTACGGGCAGCAAGGATAATGCGGCGGGGTATCATCCTAACCACAACGAAATACAGTAACCCAAACAGATTGAATTACTTCCGGGTGTCTTAAAGTGACACGCACCCGTCATTGCCTAATGGGTTTCATCCAAATTCAGCACAAATACCCCGTTCCTTTTCGTTTCTTGTGCTCTGAAATTTCCCTTTTAAAGACAAGGTAACCAACTCTAGATTTTTTTCGAGTGTAATTAAATACATTTTAACTCTGCCAATGTCCGAATATAAATACAAATTAAAAGGAAGCACAATCAAGGACAACAAAGGAAGTTCTCTATGAAATTGGATGAATTCTTAGTCTTTCGTTTGCACCATAGACGAAATGTTACCATGATAGACCGTAAATATTAAGATTACCATCGATTGTTTTTTGTAAGAAAAGATAAGATAGCATTTATTGATCTCACACTGGAGAAATGTCACATGTCACATTTAGCACAGACAGAATCACTCAGATTGTGCAAAAGACAGAAGTGTGCAAACATGTCAAGGTCTGTGCAGGATATAACTATGGCCATGAAAGGTTTATCTTATATTATATTGTATCATAATAAGAATACCAGTATTATCTAATGTTATACTAATTCAGGAAAACAACAACCACAACTAAAATAAAGAGATACTAATGCTAACAACAAGGATATCAACAACAATGATTCAAATTAGAATTCGTATGAACCCTTTTGAAATTATTATAAACAACGTTTTTACAAATATTATGTTGTGTATACATAGAATCTCGAGTGATAAATAAAGTAATTAGTTAGTTAATTATCTTTTTGCTTGTTGATGCTTGATTTGACTTTGGGTCTGGCAACTTCGGTCAACCGCAGGTTTGCCAGCTACATCAGTCAGAGAAACGTGTTCACGCTGTTGGTGAGTTGAATTCCTTACATTATAATACAGGAGTTTATATAATCAGACGAGATGCATTTATGTGCCTGACATAACGCCTCAGCGATTATTACTTTATTTGTTTTCAGTCACGTGTCAGTCCTGTTGTCCGCAGTTCCCAAAGAAGCTAAGCTAGTAGCTACGGAGCGTTGATTCTACGGTAATGCAAGATACAACTGTTGAGCATGTGTCGTCTCTATTTGAACCTAAATGGTGTATTTTGTGTTAAGACATGGGACGGGAGAAGGAGTCTAAAGATGAAGATAAGATCAAGCTCAAATCGTCAAAAATGAAATTGAAAAAGTTGAGTGGCCATGAACACGCTGGCGCCGGGGGAGACTCCTCCAGGGGCAGGTGCATGGGCAGGTGAGGAGATGAGGACAGGGTCACAACTATAAAGGGAGTTTTTGGTGTTCACGCCAAAAGCTTCAAAACGCCTTTGAAGTCGAAGTTGAGTCCGGTGTGAACGCCCCTTAAGACCGTGACTTATAAAGAAATCTATATATTATTTGCACACCTCCTCTGACTCTGTCCAAAAGTATGCTGTATTGTTATTGTTGTATATTATTTATTGGACCGGTTTAGCAGAATGGACAGTCTGGAAAAAAATAATAATAAAATAAATCTAATGGAAATCCACCACTATCTCTTTGGTCTCCCCGTGGTGCTGTTATGGTTCTACTCAGGACAATGTTGGTCCTCTGTACTCTGAACCTCGTTGATCAGTCAGATGCCTGCAGAGTCATCAGATCTGTGGTGGTGTTTCCCCCCGACACTGCACATAAGGAGGTCAATTTTGTTTGGTCTGTAAAGTTGTCCAGTGCCAACTGCTGCACCACTGTCCTGGCTGAATGATTAGTACCAAATATTCATCATACAAGATGTGTTGTACAACTATATTTCTTTATTTAGTGAACAGTTAGAACCAGTCTAAGGCTTTTTGCTGATGGAAAAGTTACTTTTGTGTGAGGAAGACGATCCTTTGGAAGGCCCACTTTGCCTGAAGCCCCCGCTGAAAGATCTCAGCTCCTGTGGACTCACCACCTGCAGGAGGATCAGTGAGGGGCTGGTGCTCTGTGAACTGGGTACAGCTCTGACTGCCACCCCCCCGACCCAGAAATGGATTAAGGGGAAGAAAATGGATGGATGGATGGTTCCTGCACACTGCACAATTTTTTCTATTAATATTTAATGTCAGCGCAATTTGTTTATTCTGAAATTTACAATATTACATTTGGGCTTTTTTGAAGTAAACGGATAAAGCCTGAGGAAGAGATGGATGGAGACTTTATTTCAAAGAAGAAATCGCAGAAAAGGAAAAGAATCAAAGAAGAACAAACTGAGTGTCCTACTGATACAAGGTTTTTGCTTTTCTTTTCCTTGTCTCCATTGGTTATTAATATTTATTTTTTATGTACAGTTCAAAAGAATCAGGAAAACTGGAAGAGGATGACACCTCCCAGAAGAAAAGGAAAAGAAAAGCTGAAAAGGTTTAAGTTAATTAATTGTTAATGGTATTAAGCAGACATTTTTTTAAGTTTAAATTTTCAGTCACTCAACGTCTTTTTGTATGCAGACTGTCAAAAAAGAAGAGGCTGATCCCGTCCCGGTCACCAAAAAAACTAAAAGGACAAAAGAAGAGATTCAGGAGGCCAAACTATTGAAGATAAAAAAGAAAGAAGAGGAGGAACAGAACCGCTGGAGATGGTGAGAACTATTGTGGACATGTTCTTTCATGTGGGACATGGATTATTGTATTTCTGAACACAACTCCAGTGTCAAACAGCAGTATTTCATTACTTTTATTGTTTGTCAGGTGGGAAGAAGAAAAGTATGAAGATGGTGTCAAATGGAAATTCTTGGAACACAAAGGACCATACTTCCCTCCAGAATATCAGCCTATTCCAGAAAATGTTCATTTTTACTATGATGGTCAGAAAAAAACAATTGTATTGTATGATGTACATTTCATCATTCTTCACATTTAGCTTCTTAAAAACTATTGTTTGAATGCAGGTAAAGCAGTGAAGCTGAGTCTGGCTGCTGAGGAGGTGGCACTGTTTTTTGCCCAGATGTTGGATCATGAGTACACCACCAAAGATCAGTTTCGGGAAAACTTTTTTAAAGATTGGAGAAAGGTATATTCAATTATGTACCAACATATTTTATCCACATTTTGTTCACAAATGTCACAAGCAAAAGTGTGAAGCTAAGAAGAGAAGTCGAGGCAAAGGCATATCATAGAGAATTAATTTTGCACTGCTTAGTGCTCATGCACTTGAAAATACGATTTGTGTGCGAGCATTGATATGCTAATCCATACAAGTAGCTCTCTTGCATATGAACAAATCCAATTAAAGTATTTTATTATAGTCGCAATAACTGTCTCCGCTTCACTGCCCTCAATGCCAACCGTTATCGAGTGTCAGTCATGGTTAACACACGCTGAATGGCTGCTTCTCACTGGGCATCTGTTTTATTTTAATTCATGGGTTAGGGTTATGTGTAGTTGAAAATAACTTTTCGGTTGTAATGCCCAATAATGGAATGCAAACAACGTTCGTTGTCATTTTTCATGGCTTCAATTTAAACTGCAAAACTGTATATGCTGGATTGAGCTATATCAAATACTGTTCAAAATATGTGCATTTTCCTGGGACAATCCATTCCACCTCTGTTGTGGCAAGATTCTGGTGAGACCCCATGAACCAGCTTTCATTTCAATTGGACCATTTCTTTTTGAAAGAATGTAAATGTAAATCGTCTAATACTGCTAAATTACATTAAGTCTTACACGTAAAAAAGACATAATTAACTTTCTAAATGCAATGTGGATCAATTCTGGTTGATTCTGCTTGAAAAGAAAACAAGCCTAACTTGTGGAGATATGAAGGCACCCATCAAGTGTGCCCTGAGCCACAGTCTTATCTATTAGAAATATTATGCAATATTTTTTGTCATTAATAATGCGGTTTCCTTTGTAATTTCATGTTTTAGAACATAAAATTATATAAAACATGTATCGCCATGAAAATATAGGGTGTACCAGGTATCAATTGTAAATAATTCTACTATTAAAAATAAGTGTTAAGTTAATATGCCCTATGATGATCTGGATAAGAAGAAAGCATATACCGCATTGTCCTGTCATGCAATTATGTTTTTCATTATTTATTTAAGGAGATGACTTCAGAAGAAAGATCAATTATTACAGACCTGAACAAATGTGACTTTGGAGAAATGCATGCCATGCACAAGGCAAAAGTGGAAGCTCGGAAAAACATGACTAAAGAAGACAAACAAGTAGGTCAAGGTTTCTATGTTTCTGACTTACTTCCCCAGTACTAACTGATATTCTTGTTAGACAATGAAAGATGCTAACCAGAAAATTGTGGATGAGTTTGGCTACTGCCTATTGGACCATCATAAGGAGAGAATTGGCAATTTTAAAATTGAGCCCCCAGGATTGTTCCGAGGGAGAGGAGACCACCCAAAACAAGGCATGCTGAAGAAGAGGATCCAGCCAGAGGACGTTATCATCAACTGCAGCCTGTAAGAAAACAAAAGCAAGACAAATGGATCAAGGAAATGTCAGGATATTTTATCCTATGCAAACATATTATGGTAATCAACATGTACATTCAAGAACAGGTCATATATGTAGGTCAGCGTCATTAAACAGAATACAAAGACACAAGAGTCCAATATGGTCATATCTTGCTCAAAGATGCATGATTAAAAGAAAATGGTACTCATAGTGCTTTTTATGATACCCAAAGATGGAAGGGCAACTACAGCTGCCCCACTGTGGCACCTTGTGTTCCCAGAGGTCTCCCATCACAGTGCTCACCCAGACATACCCTGCTTAACTTCAAAGATGTTTGTTATTAATTAAATTTGTATTTAGATTTTAACTTTTATGATTTATGCTTGATGTGATATGGGTTGTGAGGTGCTTTGTGTTGCCTTGTGCAGGAAAGGCGCTTTACAAATAAAAGTTGATTGAAGATATTATTTAAAAAACACTGTAATCACACAAATTCAGATGCAAATACATTGTTCAATTAAATGTATTCTTGTATAGCCCTAAATCACAACAGTAGTTATCTCAGGACAAAACCGTTGAAATCGCCATCACAGATATAGAACACATAGGTATTAGTCAATAGTCGGGAGTAATTGTTATATGCAGATCCAAATATTCTTTTGTGTACACTGAATGAGGATATTCTTTACAGGATTCTAATCTCATACTTTTGTGCTCTGTCAGAAATGGTTCTATTCCTGTGCCACCTGTTGGTCACCATTGGAAAGAAGTCCGTCATGATAACACTGTGACATGGCTGGCCAGTTGGACTGAAAACATTCAGGGATCTATCAAATACATTATGCTCAATGCTAACTCAAAACTTAAGGTAGGTCATTATATTTTGTCCAATCAAGGTTGTGCATGGCAACAAGCTATTTTCTATTGGTTCTATGATATCTGATATTCTGATTGGGCAGATCAGTTAATTTATTAAGAACTATGACCTGGTTGATATTGACCTGCCAGGTCACACGGTTTGACCCATTTTGTTATAAGTCAGCTTTGATGAGACATGTTGCGTTGAATATCTACTGATATAAACGGATCCCAGTGAAGGGATTGAACAGGTCGATGTTTATCAGACATCAAAAGTGTGTGTGAGTGTGTTAGTGTGTTAGTTAAGGCTGTAAGGCTCATACAATTGAATGGTGTGCCATGCATTGCATTACATCGTATAGTGAGAGACCTCAACTAATTTACTAATCAATTTATCCTAATATTACATAGATTTAAACTTGATGAGACAAAGTTTTATGACTCAGATAATTCTATACTGCTACACTGTTAACACAATTTAATTCTGTAAATACTCTGAATCAAACTCGATGTGTAACTGGTAATCTCTGAGGTTATTCCAAACCCTGGCGATCCAAGATGGCGTCTTATTCAAATCATTGGATTGTGCTCAGCAGCGCATGTGCCACTATGGGCACTGAGAGATTAGCAAAACTCGCCCATATTTGGGCATCGTCTGGTCCTCCCGGTTCTGCGCAGTGGACGAGCTTCCATGATGCGTTGCACCAAATACGCGTGTGTGGCTCTCATGCATGTGCACAGAGGGGCTCTGCAGCGTTCTGACCAATCAGGCTGCTGATCAGAGCGGAGTTAGAGCAGGAAACAATCGAGCAGAGTTTGTGGCACTAAAATGTAGATTTAAAGAAAACTGAGTTCAGGATGACAAGGGACACTAAAAACTCCACAAAATCCGACCATTATGAAAGCTGCAGGTTCTCTGTCAGCTGAGGTCGAGCTGTATTAGTTTATATTGAGTTCTATGGGGAAAATGTTCGGGTAGCCCACATGAATTTAGTGTTGTTTAGTCTGCAGTACCGGGAGAATCCCCCGAGCACATGGGTTCTTCAGCCTCAAGCTACTTATATCCTATCCAGATATTACAATACATCCACGGGTTGTTCTCCATAAGCATACGTGAGCTTTGTTTTTGTCAACTGTATAAAAATCCGATATACACTGACCTTTCTGTACCCAAACCACTTATCGATTAATAAGAGTAATAGCTAATTACAGCCCTTGTGTATATGTAAATATATTATGTACATGCTTTTACTATGGGATATTTATATGTGTTTTATATTTAGGGAGAAAAAGACTGGGAGAAATATGAAATTGCCCGAAAACTGAAGACTTCCGTAGATCACATCCGATACCAATACAATTTGGATCTCAAGTCCAAACAGATGAGCACGCGCCAAAGAGCAGTGGCCCTCTACTTCATTGACAAGGTTCTTCGGAAGTTTTTCTTTTTCAACAAAGTGATGCTGACTGATAATGCATGTATATATTTGTAAATGTTTAGACATCAACGTTTTGTGTGTGCTTGTTTGTATGCCTAGCGCGCTGATTTTTCTTATTTTGACACTATCAGCTGGCCCTGAGAGCAGGTAACGAGAAGGAGGAGGGAGAATCGGCGGACACAGTGGGCTGCTGCTCCCTTCGTGTGGAGCACATTACCCTGCATGAGCGGCTGGAAGGCGATGAGTGTGTAGTGGAGTTTGACTTCCTGGGTAAAGACTCTATTCGCTACTACAACAAGGTCCCTGTCATTAAGAAGGTAAATGTCTTCCACTGCTGCTTCACACATTCTTATAGTATTACTTCTTTTTTTTGCCATGTTTGCTGCTTGCTTGCTTGAAAAAAAAAGAAACCTGACAGGAAAAATATCTTGGTTGGATATTTAGTTATTCAAATTAGACGTGCATATTTTTTAATCAGAAATTCCCATGGAAGTGACAGATGGCTGATAAATGTCACTTAAAATAAAACTCTATATGAAATGTAGTGAGGACATTCATTCTGTTTGTCTACCTTCAGTATTTGGTCCATTTATCCCTACTATTTAGAGCTCGTCATTGTTGGTATCTTAATTTGGTCTAAATTCACTTCAACCAGTATTGGGGTTTGTCTTTCTGCAGAAATATTGAATGTATCAAATGGACTGTGGCAATAGGATATAATGATATTAATGCATCGGTTTTATATAGCGCTTTTTTGGACACTCAAAGATGCTTTACATGTTCATTCACTCCATACACGGTGATGATAAACTACTACTGTAGCCACAGCTGCCCTGGGGCACACTAACAGAAGCAAGGCAACTAGTATGTGCCATCAGCCCCTCCGACCACCACCAAACATTCAAACACACACCAGACTAGGGATGTAAATCGGTGACCGTTTAACCGGTGGTTGACCGTCACAGCGTTAACCGGTCAAAGCTGTCGGTTAAAAAAGAGAAAAAGGGGAGAGGGGAGGTCTCTTCATAACGCTATTTTAAGCCCTATTCGCACGATGTGACGAGCGGGTCGGCTAGCTGTGTGCGCCAATGTATTCGTAAACTCCGGGCCGACTTTCATGCCTCACCTGCTACATATTCACGCACACAGACGCGTGCACAGACACACACACACGCACACACTTTCCCCCCCTCCATTGATACGTAACATCCACACGCATCCTCTCTCCCCTCTGTTACCGCCTGCTAGTTGCACACTGGTGCAGGTCAGAACTACATTGGAGCTTATATTTACACACACGTACACACACATACACACACACACACATGTATTGTACACACACACACACACATACCGGTCTGTCGCGCTCCTGTGTTACGGAGCCCAAAGGATCCTCGCAAATACGCCACAGTCAAACCACATGGAACATGTTTGTGCTGCTGGTCCTTGGCATTAGATCAGCTCCACACACATCACTTTTAAACTTTAAAGGAGACCTGCGAGACGCGGCTCGTCACTCGCTGCTCTGACCATGTGGAAGAGCCGTCTTTTGCTTAAAAATGCTTTAACCCGCAGCACAGCAGAATGGGAAGATTAAAACTGCAGTTCTCTGTGCGCAAAGGTGTCGAAGCTGTTGCGGGGTTTGGCGCCGCTGTCTCGCCTCTGATCCAGTAGAACGCAGAGCTGCACTTATGAAAAGTATGCGGCTCGAAATGGCTGTTATTTAAAAGATATTTGAAACTACGCGGTTAACCGGTTTCAACCGGTTAATGAGCCTCGGTGGTCGGTCATGAAAATTCATAGTTTTTTACATCCCGACGCCAGACTCATTCTAGGCAATGGGGTTGAAGTGTCATGCCTAAGGACACAACGGCAGTTTGGCACTTTACAGCCGCAGCCGCCCCAATGTGGCACCTGTTGTTCCCAGAGGTTAAGTGTCTTGCCAAGGACACAACGACAGCAGACAGTTGGAGTCGATGGTGAAAGGGCTCGAACCCACGAGCTTCTGGCTCAAAGGCTAATGATGGATGAATGGATATTATTTATGTTTTGTTTTGTTTCTGTAGGTTTTCAAGAATCTTAAACTATTCATGGAAAACAAGGAACCTGGAGATGACCTATTTGATCGCCTTTCTGTAAGTCTGCTTTTTGTTCATCAGGTACCAGTGTTCGAAACCTTTTTAGACGGGTTATTTGACCAACTGTGACTGGAAACATTTCAATCTGGAGAGACTCAGAAGACAAAATGCAGTTTGAATGTTTTTATTGATAGGTAGTTTGGCGTCCTAGGCCCCCGTGCGGCAACTAGGGCCAGTGAGGCTCCTGCTTAGTGCGCGCACAATCCCCCCGAGGCCTAGGAACTGGTGGTGGCATTAGGGCAGCAGGAAAGAGCGTACGCTCGAGCAAGGAGAGAGGCGGAGGAGGGGAGGCGGTGGTTTGCGAGGCTTGAGAAGGCCGTGAAGTGGGAGTCTCCGCTTTTAAGCTGCTTGCCTGGCCTGCATAGGTTGGCTGGGAATGGGCGTTTGCTGTGCGATAGGCCGAGGATGAGAGGCAGGCTTGGAGGGGATAGCTTTGGCAATCAGTCTACCAGAGTGAACCTTCGCGAAGCTCCATTTCTGGGACAGTGGTAAGACTGGTTAAATGGATGTAAGGCATGGGGGCATCTGAAGTTCAATAAAAAAGCATATTGGAAGTTGGGATTGGAAAATGGCCAATGGCCAGTCAGGGAGATTATTAAAAAAGCTATGGTTGATCCATTTAAACCACACAAATGAAAATCGAGATGAAACTTGTCGCCCAGACATAATTTACACACAAGCAAAAAATGGTCAGTCTTCAGGGCTACAAACACCAGTGCTGACTGGCCGTGTATGTGGCTTTTGTAAATGCATGGATTTGTTTTGAAGGCTTCACACTATATTCAACAGAATTACATTTTCAAGTGAGCCTCCAGTAAACACTGCACATGAAATTACATATAAATATTCTCACATTATAGCTGCTGCTTTGTATATATTTCACTCCTGACCTTAAGTCATGTCATGTTTTTTATTTCCCAAAGGCAGACATGGTCTTAAAAGTCGTTAGTGAGCATGCTCACTGGTGTATATTTTACACATTTCTTATTGGTGCAATTTTCACACATTCGTTCACGTAATATGTTGTACACATGAAGAAAGATTACAAAAAAGAGGCCTGTCATTAATGTTCATTCCAGCTGTGATCATTTCACAGCTGCTCATAAGCATAGGACACAACTGGACAGTCCAGCCCTGTCCCGAGTCCTGAGGCTGGCTTTTTAATTTGAAAATTGGTTGAAGGAATGGAAAGGTCATGGAAGCCCTTAATTGGAAATCAGTACAAACCCTGATAATGACAAGCAAGCAGCTCTGGAGCAGTCCTTTGGTCCTGATGTCGCTTACATACACAATTTTAGCAAAAATTTACAGATTGTGAGCTGTTAAGATTGAAGAACGTTAAATCCCTAGTCCAACCATTTGTTTCTCCAAAGGCTCCTAAAACAAATTTTCAGATGTTGTCATAACAAAAGTCCGAGTTTAGTTTGTACTTTACCGATGTACAACTATCAAAACACTTGGTAGCATTTTAACAACCTTTTAAATAACTTTTTTTTTTCTTTTAAATATATTGTAATTTTCATTGCTGACTGAGACAGATGGGTGAGCGCTGCCTCGCCCGTTCGCCCTCCAGTGTGTCAGGAAATGTCAGCCAGTGGTGGAGGTGGAATGGTAATGACTACTGTGCGCAGGCCTGATTGACACGTGCAAAGGCCAGGCCACCGAGAAGAGGGCGAGCACCAGGGAGATGACAGCTGGCCCAGGTTAGGCCAGGCTGAGGGGAGCTGCTGAGAAAGTTGGGCAGCAAAATGAATTAAATCTGAGGAAAGGGGACTTACTTTAGGTTTTAAGTTGATACTATCCACAAACATCCGCAGACATGAGGAGAACCTCAATCTGAACAGCACTGTTTCGACTGGGATTCGAACCCAGGACCTTCTTGCTGAGAATGTCTTGCCACCGTTCTGCCCATATTTATACTAGATTTGCATCAATGAAGTTAATTTTTTTATTTCTAGAATCTAATTTGATGACTTGAAGAATAATAATAATTCGTCATTTGATTAGATGAAGTGTCTAGACAAAGTTACTAGTTTGTCACATCTGCTTTTATTTGTATCCAGGAAGTAACATGGTATAATTTTTCCTGGTTCTTTCTCGTTTAGAAATTGCTAAATTTAAGTCATATCATACATACATGTAACGGGTCTACTCTACATAGTTAATGAACAGCTAGACAGATTAAACTGAAAACTGCACTAGATCAACCACTATTTTGCATGAAAATGTTTCCCTCTTAATATAAAGCATTGCTGAACTTTTGGTTTTAACATTTATTCTACCTTTCTTGACTTGCTTTTTGAACTCGTGCTTCTTCACAAGAGGATTGGTTTATGGTTTTAGATATTATGTTTTTTATGTTATTTTTAATGGTTTCAAACCGTAGTTTGTCTCAAATCAAATGAAGCCACAGTGCCATCTAGTGTTATTTTTCTCGCTGGATTAATGGTTATGCAATATTAACAATTAGTTTAATTTATCTTTTGTAGACACAATTGCTCAACAAGCATTTGAGTTCTCTGATGGCAGGACTTACAGCTAAGGTCTTCAGGACATACAACGCTTCCATTACACTGCAGCAGCAGCTGAAGGAGCTCACAAACGGTAAGTCATTCTCTTATATCAATGTGTCTGGTTTTTTGACAGTTTATATTTTTAGTGTGATTTAAGATAGCCCAGTGTCACACATCAATCAGTTTCCTAGGCACTGGCAGCAGAAGCCATCTTTGCCTGACTCTTATCTGGGTCCTGTAGGTTTTTCATTTTGAAAACTGTCACATTTTTATCTGACATTGAGATGTTTTATTTCAGCTCTTGACATCATAACTTAAAACACAGAATAAAGTGAAGATGTGTTGTTAATATTTGATACATTGTGTATTCCTTATTTTAGTACTAATGAGAAATATTTGGTGACTTTTCAAAGAGGGAGACAATGTGGCAGCGATGATACTGTCATACAACCGAGCAAATAGAGCTGTTGCAATTCTGTGCAACCACCAGCGGGCGCCGCCAAAGACCTTTGAGCAATCGATGGCAAATCTGCAAGCAAAGGTAACAATGTAAGATGGTTGGAGTTTGCTTACCTCTATTGGAATTAAAATAAACTTGTATTTCAGATTGATGGAAGAAAAGAACAACTAGCACTTGCCAAGTCTGAATTCAAACAAGCCAAGAAGGAGGCAAAGTCGAAAGGCAATTCTGACCCTAAATTGCAGACGTAAGTGATATGTTTGAATTATACGGTAGTTTAATCGTGTCAATGTAGGAGAAAACTGTCTTCAGGGACATGGGTGTTAACTATGTGCTTAAGAGGTTAAGGAATCATTTGCATCATAACCGAACACTCCAACCATGGACAATGAAAAACAACAGCAGACATCTCGGAGGACTTTACAAAATTGTCGGGAAATTTCGGCAACAACAGAGAATAAGGAAAGGCAGGAAATGCAATAATAAAATGCTGCCATTGGTCCACAGGGTAGCAGGTTGACCCAAGTTCATAAATGTCATCACTGTCTTGAGTTGTGAGTTGACAATAAACTGGTTTGGTATGTTCCCACATGTTGGAAGTGGCTCAGGAGTCTGTATGTCGCGCTGGGAACGGTCAGGATGATTTCAACATTCAAAGTCAGTTACACTGGTTTGTGCCAACGGCTTGTGTGACGTGTGCCAACATGCAGTGTGTGGAAGGTTGGTAAGCTGTAGCAGAGGCGTGGCTTTGAGAGAGGGTGCTCCGCCTTAGCTGCTGCCCCTGTTTGCTTGTGGTGCAGTGACTGAAAGTTGAGTCACTTTGCTTAAAGCACATTACTGGGTTCTAATTGTGAAAAACGAATTTATTACACATCAGCAACAAATGTTATCTTTTAGGCTGGTGGAGAGGAAGAAGGCTGCAGTAAAGCGCTGTGAGGATCAGCTGCTGAGGATGGAGCTCCAGGCAACTGACAAAGAAGAGAATAAACAAATCGCTCTGGGCACCTCAAAGCTCAACTACCTTGATCCACGAATCTCAGTGGCTTGGTACGTCAAAACCAGAGATTCTTTTCCATAGGTGCAAATCTGGAAGGTTTGGTGCAGCTCTACATTATCAAGTGTGCAGTGTCGACCACTCAAAGCGAGTTACACAAGGTCCTGGACATAGGTCAGGCTAGTGGGTCCCAGTCATACAGTAATACAGTCATTGGAGGACAGTCAAATGGCTTGTGCAAATGACTGTGTGCTAAATTTGTTTAAGTTTCACTTCAGTTTGACATGTAGGGAAAGTTCTGTATGCACACTGCAGAGCATAGTATGTGCATTTATACTGTTAGGATTTAACACTTTTAGTTGAGAGTAGATTGATATTTGTGTCAGAACAAACACTGAATATGAACGAAACTGGAGGAAGCGATTGGCTCCACTGGACTCTGCAGACGCAGCTTCATGTGATTTGGTTAGATTTATTTAGTCTTTTATTTTACTTTTGTAGATGGCTGTAAACAATCATTGACTCTGTGCGTTCATGAACAACTGTCCCTCACCCATTTAGTTGCTTGAAAGTTGAAAATGAGCACTATTTTGCGGCGTTTGAACTAGTCAAATAATGACATGTCTGGTCTAATGCAGCCTGGCCTTATCCATCCGTAAACTATTATTTCCCTACATGTACGGAAGGAAATTAGTGCAATGGTTTGGTAAGATCTCTTTGGCAATCTTTCTTTTGCAGGTGTAAAAAGTATGAGGTGCCATTGGAGAAAATATACAATAAAAGCCAACGGGACAAATTTGCCTGGGCCATCGATATGACGGAGGAAGATTTTGAGTTCTAGACCCTGACCTTTTAAGGTTTGAGAGAATGCAACAGAACCAAACCCTGTGAACACAAGTCACTTAGTGTGGATTTCATCAAGTTGGCACGTTTTTTTTATTTTATCTGTTACATTAGTTTGTAGCTTTTTTGGTACTTCATTCAGTTTTACAACTTTTTTTTTTTTTTTTTTTTTTTTTTTTTTTTTAAATAATAGTTCCTGTGCTGCAAATTTTTTTGTGATGAGTTTCTATGGTTTCAACCCATTTCATTCTTTTTAAGAATTGGGAAGATGTAACTAGTTAAGGTAAAGCATGAGCACTGCGACCCTGTAAGTAATAAAACTATAAAAATCACATTTGTGCAGATTTCTTGGATATTAATTTATTGAAGAATTAAAGGTGGACTAAACACTGCTGTTTACCCTTCTATAAAACAAATACAGATGGAGGGTTTTTTAAATTGTAATTTGTGGTTTAATCAAAAAATGAATCTTTAATCTGGGGTGTCCAAATCTGGCTCTCTGTCTTCTGCCGAATTGACCAATATGATCATGGGCTGAACATTTCACTACGAAATGTAGTGAATACTTGCATACTATTTCAAACGGTGATATGTCAACACTAACTAGAGTTTGCCAAAAAAAAAATGCTTTCTTGCAGGATGCACGGGTAGTCTGGCAACATCACTGCTGTTATCATGGTGAATGAATAATGCATATACACCATTGATCAATAATATACACGTCAAGATAAATGTGTAGTTTGTCTGATGCATTACTGGAACTGCAAGTGGAAACTAGTTCAACTATAATCTAGTACAAAACTTTATCTGATCTTCACTAGAATACTCTTAGTTAAGATTTTTCAATTTTGTATTTAATATATCTTGATTACACAAAGTATCCAATCATACTAGTAGGATGATGCCCTCATTTGGGTTGCTAGCTTTGGCAAAAATCCAGCGTTTTGGTCTGAACCTCAACACCCTGAGCAAATATGTAACATGGTTTGAAAATTCTCTAATCAGTTTGGTTTGAGTACACTGCCACTCCACATTGTGGTTGCCTCTACAAATGTTTTAGTATAATGTGTAAATAACATCTTTGGACACCCCAAGATTACAGAACGCTCTGCTTTAATTGTTATTTTAAAGAGGCGGCCCATAAGTGTAATGAGGGCCTTTCTAGAGTTGTGGAATGGATGAATCCAATCATTTCCTACATAAATGTTGGGTTTATAAAAGTAATGGGAGTAGAGTACTCTTGGTGGTTAACACAGCATTACAAATACACCTAAACTGTCACAATACAAAGGATACGGTTCAAAAGGTCATTCTGTACAATTACAGGAGCACTAATTCCTACCGAAATAAATACCACTGTAAATATTTCTACCTCATCCAATTTTGCCACTTCAAAAATGTTCGCATGAGACTAATGCGTTTACATCATTAGAATAAAGAAACCATGCAAATGAGAAAATAACCAAATATTAACTTTTTAATATGTGAAACAGATCTACAAATCCCATTAGATGTTTTGGAATGTGTAAGACAGTTGTATTATGGAATTGTCTAGATATGATTAAGTAGCGTTCAGTATTGTGATTAAATCTTATTTGTGGAAAAGGACATGTTTACCTGTGGAAAACTACCTGCTGTTGGTGAACCAGCACTAAGTACAGAAGGGCATCATCACAATCTACAACTATTCATCTTCCAAGTCATTACTTAACAATATTCAATATATAAAAGCATTTCACACAAAACACATCAAATCAATAGAACTCTTGTCACTGAAGGAAAGACTGCCGCTTCCCATTATAATACTTCATACTCCTCATCAAGCAACCTGTAAAGAAAATGACAAGAACATTCTGAATTACTCTAGCGAAAGTCACAAAATACAATTGGAAAGTCTACGAAAAATGAAAATTAAGAGGATGCATGAATCAGCTTGAACTGTAAGTGAATTCATTTTACCTTCATGAGCCTTGACCCTCTTTAGGTTTATCTGGTGTTCCCTCAGCCTCTTCAACACCTGCTTGCGTCATCAGATCAGCAATGTTTTTCTCCAAGTCATCGATACGGGTACTCATCTCATCAAGTGGGACAGTTAAGGCACATAAATGCAACACAATATACAGGCTCATTCATATTTATATATTCAATTCAATTTATTTTTGTATAGCCCTAAATCAAAATAGTAGTCATCTCAGAGGACTTAACACAACCGAAGAATTTGCCAACACAGATCAGAGAATCAAACAGTTCAAACACAATAAATAAAACAGAAAACACATTATGGCCAATACCAATAATATATAAGGATATTCCTTCCAATGATCTGGTCTGACATGGTCTGGAACTTGTCTTGCATCTGTTGTAGCAGAGTCTGAACCTAAAAGACAAAATGACACTGTAAGAATTCAGTACATTAGGTTTTCTGGTTGTCAGAGTGCGCTCAGTCAATAGAATTACAACAATTTGTATTCGTTTAACGCTATACCGTTACGTCTCAAAGAAAATTTTGATCGAAAAACTCCATCTCCTTGTTTAGACTACAATAAAGCTGTGCGCATTGAAGCATTGATTGTGGCATACACACCAATGACATTACATCAGACTATGGGGCGTATGGACGACTCCATGGTAACCAGTAATAAACATTAACCTACACAAAGTATCGATCATTAGACTATGTCCTGAGCACTCTTATAACTAATGCTAAAGGTTATCCAAAAATACTGTATCTAGCGTCGTCAAAATTGCATGGGTCATACAGAATCATGACCACGGTTTGACAATCCAAATGTACTAGAACTGCTCGGTTACCACTAGCGTGTTAGCTGCGGACTTTGCTAACGCTATACTTCGCCACCTCAACGCGTTCACGTCTCTATGAACCTACGCCAATAAGTGTCGTCCTTTGCACTCCGTTAATTAACATGGATACATTGACTTCCGCACGGAACTGTAGGGAAAGTCAAACTCGAATATCGGGATTAGCGTACACATACATGCTAGCCAGCATTATGCCCGAGAGATAGCAAAATGTTAAAAATGCTAGCATTAGCCGTAACCAAGAACCGACTTACCACATTGGTAAGGTCCTGCACAGATTTGGGATCTGTCTCAGCCATAATTTAAAACGACAGTTTGGATTATCAATGTAATATGGATGAGATTATACGAATAATTTTGCCAACGAGCGTGTAAACAGATTTCAGCAGCAGATGCCTGGAACCTCCCTCCACAGTCAGCTGTTAGCCGCAGTGCTCTCGCGAGATGTGCGTGAGGAGCAAAGCAGTGTGGATTGTTGAGTTTTCAACTACTATGAGCAGGCTGGTCATTGCTGTTTAACGCTACTGTTATTGACTGCTGAAATATACCTTGCTGGATTGGCTGCAAATGCTCATTTTGTCGTTGCTGTGCGGTACAAACTGCATAAACACGGACGACATAAGAGCAGAAAGTGTGTTATGTTCCCGATTGTGAAGTGAGCGCCTGTGTGCGCGAGAGCCGCCGCGAGCCTGACGCGCTTGTCTTCAGTCTTGAGTTTGCAAAACATGTGAACATGTTGGGCTTTGAAATTTGATGTCCCGGAAGAGTAACAAGACGAGGCCAACATATCTCTATTCAAAAGTTCCAAGAAGAGGTAAGCTTGAAAGGCAAACCTAAATATGACCTGTCAAATTTAAATTCTGAACGGCTTGTCGGTGAAAAGTTGATAACCTGAGCTGAATAATATCCGATGCTTATCTTAAGTTTGACAATCAGGTTTGTTTAACCACAGGCCTCTGGGATCAACGAACCACAGTGATTAAACCAACAGGGTAGGCATATAACCTTTCGTGATGTAATTTTAGCTTTGTACACCACATTGTAAGTTCTGGTTCGCAGCCCAACCCAGTACAGCTATGTCACAGCTACACAGTGTAGACATGCAACTAAGCCAACTATAATAAACTGTTGTATGCCCCAAGAAAGTCTCCATGTTGTCCCTCTTGTAATCTCTTGAGTTATTGCAGCTGTAGGTAACTGACTTGTCAGCTGACTTTTATTATGTTGAACCATATTATGGATATTCAATTTTTTTCTAGCATGTGAGCTTTATTATGGCAATTTGTATATATATTGTAATAACAATATAATTTTTAAGTATTGCTTACACTGGTTTGCATTGTTTAATATAAGCTACACTATTTTGGAACCACAGACAAACTGTGCACGACAGTCCTTGTGGTTACCTTCCTACCTTCCAAAAATAGTGTATACTTACTGCATTGTAACTATTTCTAGTTTTGTTTGAATGTTTGCATACACTGTATGCTACTACTCAAGATAACTAATATCTGTTGTGATCTAATCGGATAGGTTCCCTTTATTTTGAGTTTTCATGAAGTTTGATCTTGAACTGTTTCCTCACAGCCACGAGTGATGGATGCTGGGTTGGGCTTGCAAGAGGAGGACTTGGAGGCCTCCTGGACACTTTGGTCTTGGTTGGCATCCTGTGTCATGGTGTTTGGAGGAGCTCTCCCTTATGTGCCACAATATCAAGACATCCAGAAATCGAGCAACACTGAGGGCTTTTCCACCAGAGTGTGTCTCGTGCTCCTCATAGCCAACATCCTGCGTGTTTTCTTCTGGTGAGGGACCAATTCCCATGAATGAATATGCTGTGCTTTCTTGGTACTTAAATTGTTTTCGTGTTTCATTTGTCTATGTGAGGATTGGAAAGCAATTTGAGTCGACCCTTCTACTTCAAAGCGTTGTGATGATCCTGACCATGTTCACCATGCTCCATCTCTGCTGCACCATCCAAAACGCCAACCGAGTGAGCACAAAGCAGCACAGGCTTTCAGGTATTACTATTGTGCCTTTCCAGAAATGTCATGCCTATGTATGGGTTACATGCAACATATTGAGGACATGTTTACCCATTCAAAACATACCCACATTTTAATTGCCCTTCATTTTTGCAGCAGTCCTAATTTTTCATCCTCCTGGTCCATGGGTACCTGCTTGGTATCTGTCAATTCTAAAGTATTACCAAAAGAGGGAGCCATTGTGAAGGATGAATCTGTTGGCTCATTTATACAGACTGTTAACTGTGAGATAAATGTGAATCCTGAATATGAGGAAATAAATTTACTAAAATAGGATTCCTCATCCAGTTAATTAGACGTTGTTGCTTATTCATGGGTTTAATTGAAACTCCATGTTCCAATATATTTGTAGTCTTTGTTTATAGTTTGTGTATTTGCAGATATATTATGTCATTCATTGACATTTCTGCACATTGGTTAGTATTAAGCAACATTCAAGTCCTGTGCAATACACCAGCCAGCACATTTACAGGAAAAGCAGTGTCTCTATTTGTTGGAGGTTCATTATAAGAACTTTCTACCCTTTAAGTTCGGACTTAAGGTCTAGTTTCACTGTGCGATATCATATGTGCTGAAGTTGTTGGGGGTCTGGATTAAAATAGATGAACACAAACTTCAGTCCAAATGCCACAAACACTTTCTTCCCTGCCCTGAGTCATCCCAGCAGAACAGGGGATTTCTATGTTAAGTCATTGCCTTTTCCCAAGACACATGTTGGCATGAACTCTGAATATTGAACAGCTCTCTTTTCACAGCAAGAATCCTATTTGATTTCCAAACCCTTTGGTTCCACCATTGACCGCTCCTCTCCCACTCTTTCATCTGGTGATTTTGCTTCTGTTTTATCTATTTTTTCCCCATCTTGACCTAGTTCTTTTTTGTGCTTTAATAGAGAGTGTCAAGTCAATCTGTGTTATACCAGGGTCAACTTTATGCCTTCTTTCTAACCACTACTCTTATCATACATCATTTCATCATCATTACAAATTGTTTTTGGTGTAGTAAAGCTTGTAAGTGATGTAGAAACATAACATTCTGAGATAGAAGGGACTGTTATGGTCCTTGTTAGAATTATCTATGGAATTATGTTTGTCCATCATGTCTCTAGAGATTGCACTGCCAATCACCTGTTTCGTTGTGTACATTTACAGTGCAATAAATACACTTACGTCACAAAAAACATTAAATCCTTTATGGTTGTGAAAAATAATAGTGTTGAGTGTGTTTCCTGTTTTCCCGCTAACAGAGCTGACTCAGAGTTGTGACTTTGTGGTGACTTCTTGTGGGGGCTCCAGGGGACCACATCAGGCTCAATGACACAGGGCTTGGGAGGCTGATAGGGTCCAAGGAGAAGAGACTCTGACACAGATCTGGCCCCACGCTCAGTGTCCCATATGCTGCAGTTAAAATAGAAATGACTAGAGTTTCTTTTCATAGCCTTAATGAGATTTTACCTGCTGTTTCTCGAAAGCTTGATGTTAGGCTATTCTTTTTGGAAATTATTGATTGTCAAGTGTCTTGGGTCCCTTCTTGCACGACTCCATGACTTTCTCACTTCAGAGCCAGCCTGAGCTTTTCTGTGTTGCACGTTTGGGTGTTTCTCCCTGTGTCCGTGTGGGTTTCCTCCAGGCTCTCCAGTTTCCCACACCACCCAATACATGCATAAAAAAAAGGTAAAATCCGCCAGCTCTTATCCTGACCAAGCAGAGCATCAACATCTGCAGGGTTCTCAGGGCACCCCTTGTATTCACTTGGACAGATGAGCTGTGGGTTTAAAACACCCTGCCTAGACATTACATTGCATTCCTTTATGGACTTGTCTCATGGATAATGGGAATAAAAAAGGCTATACAAAGAACCCACATCAGTAGACTGCAGTAGTACATCTAGTCCAAAAATTGCTGTGGATATGAAAACGACAACAAGAATCTCACAAAACCACACGTTAGTGGCCTTGACTATAGTCTGTGTCACATTTTTACTTGTTGTAGTATTTATCTATTATCTATTTTTGCTATCTATTGCCATCCTGTGAGTCTGTTTCACTCACTCTTTTATTGATCATCCTGTTTGTGCGAGGAAAGTAAAGCTTATACTAGTTCTGTGAGGAGGGGAGGGGATGGGCTTTGTGATTGTCAGTATTGACCCTCGGTCATTCTTAAAACCAGGGCACTCACCATCAGAAAACCTTTTCAATTTGTAAGAGATAACCTCTCCGGCAGAGGTGAGGCTGAGTAGACGTTAGAAGCGTGATGGGAATTACTTAAAGGGAGAAAAGTTCCTTGGTCTTAAATCAATCTCTCTAGAATAAAAGTATCCTTATTTTCACTTTAAACTAAGAAAGTCAGGAGTGACATTAAAGACTTTTTACTGACTTTGTCATTTCATGTTTTAGAACTACTGTTATGGCCATGGCTCCATTGTTTGTAACACCTGTGCTTTTTCTTGTTTGGCAAGATATCTGCTGTGAAAAATGCTCCCATTAGTTTAGCAGTGGTCGTGTCATACTTCATTACCTCTACCAATGAATCCCAACACATTTTCTCACAAGATAAATCTGAATAGAGGATCATTGTGGACTTTGTGGCACACATATTGTCAAATGGGGTATAATCTTGTTTAGGAAAATGTCCAAAAACTGTCAGTCAGAAAGTCTTATTAGGCCCGAGCCCCGAACGGGGTAAGGGCCTATTGCTTTCACAATGGTGAAAACAAATGGTGGCGGTGAGTGACGGACGCGTCAGTCAGAAAGTTCTTCAGAACTTCTTTCTTTCTTTCTTTCTTTCTTTCTTTCTTTCTTTCTTTCTTTCTTCTGCACTTTGAGCCAGTTGTTAAATTTTGCCCAAAAATCAGACCTGACGAAAAATTTGATATTTTGGTGTTTATTTTTATGGGACTCAAAAAATGCCAGAACAGCGCCACCTACAACAGCCAAAATAATACCCCTCTGGGAGTTCTGAAGATCAAGTTTGTTGTAGAGTCATGAAATTCGGTACACATGTTCCTCAAGTCAAGACAAGAAAAAAATATTATTATGGCTCCGCCCTCTGACAAACAGGAAGCCCATACATTTCACTGCAAAATGGAAAAATGAACAGCAAAAGTATTCATACATGTCGGTTGGAAAGCGACTCCTCCTCGGCCGTTTCACCGATTCGCCTCAAAATCGCTCCACATCATCTCAACACATGTACCTTAAAAATGACCTCAGGGATTTTTGATCAGTGAAACATTGTTTGAGCAGCGGAGCGGCAAAATGTGACCTTTTTTTGGCCGTTTTTGACAACATTACATTTGCTCCCGTTTGCACAAACAAAGTCTGATTTGCACAAAACATTAATACATTGTTCAACTCTAGGGTCTAGGTCGTTTGAAAGTGAATTAATTCAAATTGACACATTAGCACATTTTCAAATTTAGTTTTTTCAAAATGTTTGAAATTTTGCACATAAATCTGTTTTGCCCTCTTGATTCAAAAAGTCAATTGGGTCCAAGGTTTATTTTTTACCCTGTTGCCGTGGCGACGAGAAACGCTCCCCATTCATTGCAAATGTAGACCTCACACAAACATCAAACCAGCCTCGGCCGTTTCACCGATTCGCCTCAAAATCGCTCCACATCCTCTCAACACATGTACCATCAAAATGACTTCAGGGAATTTTGATCAGTGAAACGTTGTTTGAGCAGCGGAGCAGCAAAATGTGAGGGTTTTTTTGGCTCTTTTTGACAACATTAATTTTGCTCCTGTTTGCACAAACAAAGTCTGATTTGCACAAAACTTTAATCCATTGTTCAATTCCAGGGTTTAGGTCAGGTTAAAGTGAAATATTGGAAATTGGCCCATTAGCGCCCCCTACAGACTGTGTCAAAGTTTACATGGGGAGCCAAACCAGCTCTACTTATCATATTCATTACAATTTGACTAACAGTCTTCTATGGCTACGGGAACAAATCATCACACGGCGGTGCCACCTCCTTTTAGCGGTGATGCGTGGTACGGTGTGGTGCGGCGTAGTGCGGGGCGTTGTGGAGCGGCGCGTTGCGGCTTGGTGCAGGGCGGCGTGGTGCGGGACGGCATGGTGCAGGGCGGCTTGGTGCGGGGCGGCGTGGTGCGGGGAGTGCGCGCGGTGCAGGGAGTCGCGCGGTGCGGCGAGGGCCGTTCGACGCCGCTTGCGGCTTTAATTTCTGACTGTTTATGTAATTATTTACAAACGTTGGAACTGTTTTGCTTCATTTACCTTAGACATTATCAGAAGTAGTTAAAAGTAGTTACACATGACTTAATAAAGCCACATATTAAAAATAGAAACTTCTCAAATAACAGAAGAACATTCTACATGAGAATACTGCTTATTTAACCTTAACTTATTCACTGCTGAAACTTTAGTTTTAGTTTGTACAATGTGCAAATGTTTTTGCTGCTGTATAATGCCGCTGTGCAGGAAGTTCCGTGTTCATTCCTGTATGTTAATTGGGATAGTGCTCGGGGCGCCGGTCCTCTGGATAAACGAGAATTCAAGCAGGTCCTTACATACATAACACATACATACATAAAATTATGAATATCATGATTAATGTCCATTAAGATGCACTTTACTAGTCATAAAAAACATATATTGTTATTATATTGTCAGACCTTGACAATAAATGCCCTAGAACACGCACAAGCCATTCTGACTTTTTTGTGACATGTGTAAATCTGTTGAAATGTTCGAGGGGGGTCTGCACAAGGCTTGTGGTGGCAGTGGCACAAGCAGGTAGGACCGACGGGTGTACTTAACTTTTGGTTATGTACACCATGATGACAAAAGTCATTGCTTTCTTCAATATTTTTGCTAACACCAACTAACAACAATTTCCGGCAACGTTTGGGGCAAAAGTTTTGGGCCGCAAAGATGAGTATACAGCTGAGGATAGGGATGAAAAACCAGTATCTGGTAGAACTTCTGAGTAACTAAATACAATGAGATAATAAC